CACACACACACACACACACACACACACACACACACACACACACACACCAGGTGACAAGAGCTGCAAGTCTGAGGTTCTGTAACAAGCCCACTCCAGCGTGTGTGTGTGTGTGTGTGTGTGTGTGCACATATGCATGCCCATACACATGCTTCTGCCGTGACTCACTCAAAACAAGGACGTGCAACACAGCTCACGATGCATCAGAAACAGACAGATCCAAAGACGTAGTACAACTCAAACACAACCGTGAGCTTCAGATTGAGAACATGTAGTTCTGAGGCTCTGCTGCCTGACAGCCTACTGTACGACAGATAAATACCTCCGTTCTGTACAGCGAACAGTAGAACACCATGTTCCACAGTATGCACACACACATATACAAAGTACCCGCTGCAGACCCACAGACCATGTTCCAAGAGTGTTAAAAGAGGACTTTCTGTCATTTCCTTGTCTTTGGAACAATCATTTGAAAAAAGAGACTGAGCCAGAGCTCAGTGTTCTGTTCCTGCTGGAGCTCCTGGGAAGTTAGTGTGTACAGTTGGACAGAATGGAAAGAGAAGCACACATTACTCATTTTCCAGCTGCGCTCGACTCCTGATGTCAAGCAGGATTGAAATTCATGCATTGAAATTCTTATAATTTGTGTTGATAGCAGAGGAAAAAAACAAAGCAGACACACCGGGAACACATGTACTGCAGCACATGCACACAGTGAGAGGGAAAGAGAGTGACCATGGTTCATATTTTGGAATTTGACAAATCTATCTTCTTCCTACTCATATTTTATTGAAGAAAGTATCCGTTAATAAAGTCAATCTTCCTTATCGTGGGTGCAGGACAGGCACTGCCACCATAGAAATGAAATGAACTACACTTAAACATTTAAAGGTGTTCTCATCACATGACCCTGAGACATTGCTGCCATCTCCTTTTAAGGTCTTGAACCTTTCCTATAAAACATCATCTTACATGTTGATGGACTGTTAGCTGTACGTTTCTGCTCTTCAGTAGATTTGGTTCAGCACGGAAGAAATGAAAAGCTAGGTGACTCCCTCAGAAAGCGCTCAGGCTTGGCATTACAGCGCCATCCACAAAACCCCGGCTTACTCGTGACTATGGCTCAATTTATAAAAACCCTCCAGAGGAAAATGAGCCGGGAGCTACGCCACCATTAAGAGCTGGAGGCATGCTGGTCCAGTGAGAGTGGCTTATTTATTGATTTTTGGCTGGGACACGAGCAGGACACCGTCATGCTTTCATCTACACGCTGCTGTTCCGTTATGTAACCTAAAGTGTGACGTACAACTCCACATAATTCAATGTTGGAGACGACACAATGAACTCATAAACGAGATGGTGTCTTTTAAAGATATTTATCATACAGTGTTTTAACAATCTACCTTTGCAAAAGTTGTTTAGTTTGGTCGGAAGGAAGAGCAGTTTTAATATTATCTCCCAATGGTGGGGCCTGCAATGCTTTGTTCAGGTTCTTTGGGGCTCAGGTTACTGAACACTACAGATGTGTTTAGTCCAATAATTGATTTGGCCTCAAATGAGCACAAGTTGTGACGAGCTCGTCTAGTTTTGAGGGTCACTGATAAAGTCTTATTCTAATCATGTACCTTGGTTTTAGTTTTCATTAAAAGATGTGTGAAGTAGAAAGTACAGGTGTAGAGGCATGTGTGTCACAATCTATGACATGCACCTGTGAAGAAGACACACACACACATATATACAACTGTCAACGTGTCTTAAACACCACAGCTTGAAGACCAAATAAAAGAATTCATATGGCAGCTAAACAGATTTCAATCAAAGTGTAAAACACATTCACAGATGATTAAACGCTCACAGGGCGCTCCAAATCAAAATCAAATCCGGTATGTTTGCACCGGCAGAATAGCAGGTTTGTAACCAAAATGAATTTGCATTTGGTTTTGATTGCTGCGATCCATTTGAGCTGGTTAGCTGAACTTGTCGACCGTCATTGCTAACTGTATGCAGTCATCTGCAACTGGTCAATAATATCATGTCAGTTCCCGTTTCCCCCTTTTCTCCCCATCATGGACGTCATTAAACAAACAACTCGAGTCACAGCAGCTGTCTTAAACAGCTGATCGACAGCCTTTGCAAACATACCGTTCAATTTAATCTGCAGGATCCTGGAGCCACAACAAACAATGCTCTCACACACACACACACACACACACATACACACACACACACACACACAAAACAGACAGACAAAACAGGTACAATTCTGTGTAAAGGTTGAATAAGAAAAAGGTAGTACTTACTACAAAACTACTGTTAACTTTTTCTAAAATGCGTTTTTCGTTTAGTGCCATTGCTTCACCTTTTCTTTTCTTCACTCGTTTCTTTTCCAGCTTTTTACAGGCGTACATCTTACCGGTGGCACGTACTTGGCAGGCACAAACCTGGAAAACAAGCAGCGAGGAAACATGATCACACACACACATAAAAAAAAAAAAACACACACACACCTTAGAAGTAGAACTAACGGAAGTTAATATGTCACACTAAACATCAACAGCGTGTATTAAGTAACTGTTAAAGGTGACTTGTAGCAACTTAAATCTTTAACGTCTCATTCACAAACTTGCTGTGTAAGGGAACTTAAAGGTGGCTCAGTGTCCATCACACAAACACAGTAAATTATTCCAACACTTCTGTATCACAGCGACACTCACCTCGCCAAATCCACCTTTTCCTAGTACTCTGTAATGTCTGAAGGTATTTTTGGTTACTGGTTGCCTGCAGGGACGGAAAGAAGAGAAAAGATAAATGATAAAGAGAGCAACAAAAAGAAGACGTGCAACAACTGATCTGACCATGTGAGCGCGCAGACAGAGCAACGCTCCAATATGTTATTAATCCAGCGATTACGCAAAGCATCATCAATTATTTACCCCCCCCCCCCCACCCACCAAAACACCGACTGGCTGCACCACCTTCATGCTTTAGTGCAAACATCTTTCCAGCGACTCTCTATTTATTTGCTGTGAGCATTTATTCTGCCATTAATTAACATGAGGCTATCATCATTATTTGCATATTATATTCATTAATCATTTTCTTTATTATCTGTAGTTTTTCCCTCGAGAGATTATGATCTCTCGACTATGTGCTGGAGGTTTAAAGGAGACAATTTGCTGCCCTTAGCAAACAAAGAAGTGGAGTGAATGAATCAACCCCGAACGGAGAATATCGAATGTGTGGAAGATCATGGGTGCCATTTTTATTGGGAGAAAAGGAACGGTTTGCATGTCTGCTTCACCGAGCGTGTAATCTGCAGTGACTACCCACCTCTCCAACCATTTCCACTGCAGGAAGCGAGAGAAGTACATGGACTCGTGGTAGGAGGAAAATGGAGCTCCACTCAGATAATCACGAACTATTCTGTAGGGAGGGAGGGACGGAGGGAGAGGGAGGGTTGGTGATCACGTAATAACACAGTAATAAAGATCTACATGTCAAAAACAAGCAAACATGTACAAATTATTGCAAAATCTTCCAGACAGCAGAACAGACATCTGGCCTGTGTTCCCCAAATGAATAACCTTTACAATGATGAGGAACACACACATCCTCTTTATCCGACGACCAACTAAGCCATACGTGTGTGTGTGTGTGTGTGTGTGTGTGTGTGTGTGTGTGTGTGTGTGTGTGTGTGTGTGTGTGTGCTCTCTCTCAGGTATTGCCTGGGTGTGTAACGGTTCAAAACAGTTCTCAGTGGAAAGAGTGAAAAAAAGCTCAGTGGCGGTACAACCACCGTGAAAAATTAAAAATGCCTTTGAACGGAGACATTCCGCTGAACTCTAGCAGGAAACGGGGGATTTTGGGGGGAAACTGGTTTCCACTGAGCAGGAGGTTGAGCGGAACATCTAATCTCACTTTTCCTCACACGTGAATGTGGGAGTGAGTCTGTCTGAATCTATGCGATTATGTCATATATTCAGACGTAAACACCCCCACACACACAAAAACAAAACAACTGAATTGCGTAAAAGCCCCGGCGTAGGTCGAAGGATTAACGTAACGGACACAAAAGGTCTTTGAGGAACGAAGGGGTCATGGAAGTCTCCTGACCGCACGTCAGCCGTCAGCCCGCTGAGAGTTGTAGAACATGACTCTTTGACATGACCCTGCCAGCCTCTCGTGTTCGTGTCCTTTTTCACTGCAGATGTTGTTTGACTTAAACACCGTGTCCTCTTTGACACGGTTCTACCAAACAGACGAGAACTTCAATTCTACTTCAAGGGTTATGTGGAGAAACATTACGGATCAGCATTAATGATGTGGTTACTGCAGCGCCAAGTTTCATACATCAAATGTACTGTCCTTGCCGTCTGTGTTGTCTGCAGATAACACAAGATTACTGCATTCCCATTCTTTAAGGTGCGATTGCGCGTCTCTCTTCGATCAACATATGCGAGTCAGCAGGTTTTCATCCTGGATCATCAACTTTGATGCTTCTGCTGTATTTAAATCAAGAAGCATTTTGGTCATTTGATGTTTGATATTAATATTGTTTCTGTTATTTAAATGATTGTGTACAAGACGCTCCCAACGCTTTCACCCCTAATGTACCATGAGCATGCCACGGATATGATATCAAAGTATTTTTGACTAAATATCTAAAAGAAATGCGATATTGTAGGGCTGGTCATTGGTGCTTTCACAAAATACATGTTTGATAAATAAGAATCAGTAAGCTGGCTATAATGACTAAGTGGTTACGGCAAATAATAGAACAGTCTGGCAAGTAAAATGACATCACTTTACTGAAATGCAGCCTTTAAGTACAGCATAACTGCCCAAATGCAAAAAGTACAAATATTTCAACAGGGTGAAACGTCATCATTGTGTAAAGAAAAACAAGTCGGCACTACAAGCTTTCCACGTAGAGTTCCGTACAGACAAACATCCGTCATCCAAATCATTAGCAGCAGCGTCGCGACTTGAGCTTCAAAAAAGCCAGATTCAAGAAGTCCACGTATCTGCTTTACGTAGCAGCAGAGAGACTGAGACAAAGGATCGTGATCCCAAAAAACTGAAATCATAATTCCACTTTTGCCAAACATTTAATAGCCTCCAACAGTGAAAGAACAGTTCCACCAGCAGCACGTTCTCTCCTGCTGACCAGGGAGCTGAAAATCTCTGCTGCCAGCCTTCAACACGGCTGAAAACCCCAAAGTTACAGCAGATATCCCTCCTCTGCCACCCAGATGTTGAAGGGATGCTCATATTAGACGGGGAGATTTTCCTTGACCATGTTTTTAAATGACTTCATCGCGAAGGAGGATGAGGAGAGCTGCCTGTGGTTACCAGCAGCGCTGGGGTGGCTGTTCTTGGCAAAAGGCTGGAGGGCAGAGAGTTTCCACAAGGGGAGCACCCTCCGCTGCCTGAAAGAAAACTGAATTATGTCATCATGGGACCCAGTGGCTTTGTACACGAGATTCCATCGAGCCAGACTAGATGTTGATCCTTCGCAGGGGAAGTACGGTGTCTATGGGATGTTATCTCTCCTCTGCTGAACGCATGGACATCAAAGCTCAATTCAAACTTATTAAAATCCCCTGCAAAGCGCTGGTCTGCTCCGTAACCTCAACAGATACAATAACATCTTTTTCAACACACTAGCTTCACTCAGTCTTAGAAGACAGAAGCGGTCCCGGGGGAACGTAAAAGGAAGGGGCTCCAGAGAGACAGGAGCCTAGCCGTGCCTGGCTTGGAGTCCGGCCTCAGACAGACACCACTGGGAGGAGAAATAAACACCGCTACAATATGGCTTTTGTTACTCGAAAGGGAGCGGGAAAGGAAAAGAAAAAGAGGAGCAAAATCAGCACAAAGACCTTTGTCAAGAGCGGCGATACACAAATACACCAAGATACGCATGTATTGACACACACTACCCCTGGTGTGACATAACCATATGTTCCACTGCAGCAGAATAAAATCCATGAGTGAGCTAATGCGCTGCTGCTAACTCCGCCAAAAGTCACATTTCCACGTGCGGCACCATGCTTTCCTACAGGCTATCCCTCTGAGAGCAACGGGAATGAGCCCCGGAACAGAATTACATCTCGGAATAAGTGAAAATAAATACAAAATTCCACAACAGAGCGCAAATAATAATGATAGTGGAAGGAGTGATGACCGAACACGAACAGGAATCCCATTCAAAAACATCTGAACTGCTGCTGCGAAGGCTTTCAGTGACACAAACATGTGCCCGTGTTGTTCTATGTTTGTACACTCGCCCCGCTCTCATTCACACCGTCTTTCCATTGCTCCTCACTTTCTCTCTCCCCCCCCTCCCCCTTGCTCTCCTTCCATTACTCCCTGAGGGTCTTTCTAACGTGGCCCCTCCTGCTGCCGCTTTCCTCTTTCTCTGCCCTCCCCGGTGCCCTTTTGACTACCAGAGGTGTTAAAATAGAGATGCATGCAGACGGGAAGGACATGACCTGAGATGCCAAAGACGGGTGTGTTGTGTTCATCCTCAAACACTGATGTTTACGGCTCTGGTCACACACAAGCCGCCACCGTACGCACTAACTGTCCCTCTACTTTCTTTATCATAACAAACCTCTAATGCCGTGCTATCGGTCTAGATAAGTGGACGTAAAACATAATTACAAGACAAATAGGCAAACAGTTCATCTGATCTGCACAACCAGCATGAGCAGCTTCTGAACCTCACTGCATTCACTCTCTAAATGCGTCGTGCCAGAGCAGGAGAGCGGGCCGACAACATAACCGAGTTTCCCAGCAATGATTCCCATTTCTCCAGCCTTCCTCAAGCAGATTCCAGTATTCCCCCGGGGAAGCTCAAGTGGATCGGAGGCTGGTCACAGCATTTTTTATGTGGCATTAAAAGCTGCGTCGTCTGCTCTGCCAGGACTGAGCAAACATGTGTGTGTTTTCTTTTAGCCAACTGATTTGATGGGGGGGGGTTGTATATTTTATGTATCAATGTATTTATGGATGTTTTCGTTCATGGTCCCTGACAAAATAAATTCTATCAAATTAAATCTGTCGTAAGGCAGAAGACCTGAGACGCATGCGACTTTCTGCCAGTTTACACAAACCAGCAACGTTTTGGAGTTCACGTTATGAAAAGCTCTCTTTATGTTTTCTGGTTAGGACCAACTCATCTTAACTACACAGAGAACAACAATCAATGATATCTAAGCAGAAATCTGCACACAGAACACTTCAGACATCAACAATCTTTAACTGCTCCTTAATCAATACAAACACATCAGACAATATGATATATAGAATATAGTGCACATACTAATTATTAAATTACCAAGTTAAATGTTAATACTTGTCATGATTTTACATGATATCATTTGGCTGAACCCCTGGGCAACAGAAACTACCTGTGACGGAGTGAAATATTTGGGCTAATAAAGAGTTCCGTGGAGGTGTGTGAATGTGTGTCAGTCAGAAATACATACCAGCAAATAATCCCGGGTCTGTTTGCTTCTCCTGGCTCTCAGAGCAGGAAGCAGAAGCACCTGCAAGAGTGCATGTGTGTGTGTGTGTGTGTGTGTGTGTTTACGTGGAACACTGAGGTAGCTGTTGTTTTCATGCCAGCCATCCGGATGCTCTCTTTGCCCACTGCTCCTTTTCATTCGCCTCCACTGTGTGTTTGCAAGTCTGTGTGCGTGTGCGTGTAATACTGCACACCAGGTGCCAGCTGCGTCGTCATCATCACTAGTGACAGGGTGAACTAGTCCACGCACACATTACAAAACACACACATACATACGTTTTCTGAAGGAACAGGCCTCTATTGGTGCTGCTGCACTTTAATGGCCAGACTCAATCAAAACACAGCATCTATGTGCCAGAGAGAGACTTACTTGGTGCAGTCGTTGAAGAGCTCCTTACATGGACTCTGCTCCAGCCTCTCCCGACACCCAGCGACCACATCCTGGGGTACGTCTGGCAGATGGGCTGCCGACTTGACGGCGACAAGGAGAGAGAGAGACATGGGGGTGAGGCAGGCAGACAGCCAGAGGGGGACACAAACAAAGTGATATAAGATAAGATAAGATACGCTGCAGAGCATCACAACGTTATCAACTGCTTCTGTTTGTGAACATGTACAGTCAGACTGGTGGGGCAACATATCAGGGCTGTGGACACACCTCTCCGGTTTGGTCCAGTTCATACATGGTGGTGAGAATGTGGTAAACAAATACTGAAGACAAAAAGAAGGTTGTGATGTGGTTGTGACGTGATGCAGCACATTCATACATTTAAATCTACTCAACCCATTTCCTCCAACTACACGACAGCCCTGTTTACTTACTCTATTTCTAGTTGTTTTTAATTTGCACATTTGCAAATATGATGTTATGTCCATATCGACCAGCTCTGTTATTAAGTGAGTGTGCGTGTGTGCGGCATACCCCATTATTAAAGTATGTGTCTAAAACATTCAGTCCACAGTCCCTCCTCTTCTCGTCTGGAGCTAGCTGGTACATGGCCTGTCGAAGAAGAACAGACGTGTGAGCAACCACAATGGCACAGGAAGCCATCTTTAATATCTCTCCAAATAAGGTCACACACACACAGAGCGAGCGAGAGAGCGAGAGCGAGAGAGAGAAGAAGGCACAGAGGACGGTTGAAACAGGGAGAGATAGAGAGATGGTACTGGTGACAAAACGTCTCATCTGAGTCAACTCAGCAAACTGGCGACCACGTTCATTCTCACGCTTGGCCCGTTACATCCGTCACCTACCAGGGTGAGGCCTCAGTTGTCCCCCCCATCGCAGCATCACAGACTGCGTTTTTGGGAGAATACGTAGGCAGGGAGATGGTCCGGATTTTTACCGCTTCAGGCCGTGTGTTTCGTTTGAAAACAACTCGGTGGAGAGGAATGGGTCCGAGCAATGCGACTGTGCATCGCAGCCAAGGCACGACGCCCTCGGTGAGACTAACGGCACGTTGAGCACTAACAAACTTGCTCGTTTCATTTCTTGATTTTCTTTCAGTCGCCGTGAGTTTGTGTCACGTACCCGTCTACCTGCCTTGAAAAAGACTAATGTGGGTTCTTATTAAATAAGCACGATTCTCCCCTGTTTTTCTTTCTCGCATACCTCCAGGGGCCTAGACACAAGTTGGGGCCTGTGTTTGCCTGCTCACCCAGGAGACCTGCCTCTGACGTGGGCTTGACCTCATGGGGGGGTGAGAGGGAGGTCTGCTCTCTGACAGCCTGTCTAAATCGCTAATCACCCCGCTACGCCCACCCCACCCACCACCCCGAGCTACTGCCAAGAGCAGGCAAAGGGCCAAGCTCCCACTTTCCTCTCCTTGGTTGCTGCTGGGCAGGCCGGAGTCAGGCCGGTGTCGGGGGAGAAAATGGCAGAGAGACCAAAGAACGAGAGAGAGAGTAAAAGAGGACATGTGAAGAGAGGATAGCTACAAGTAATGAGTAACGGTGAAAGTCTTACCACAGTATCCATAAACTCGATGCAGCGCTTCAGCTCTGGCCTGGTGTCACAGTACTGACGGAATAACAGCCGACCGATGGGCTGCTTCTCACATAAACTGGTGTAGTCCCTGTCTGAGGAGAAGAGAGGAGACAGATGGAGGAGCGTCATTTCACTAGAAGAATACACTACAACAGTGGATCCACGCAACAGTAGGAAATACAGAGAAAACTTTTCCATAATTTTACATAAATAATCTGTATTTTTCAGACTCTCTCTTACCGTTGCATTTTTAGTACTGTACAGTTTCAACCATTCAGGCCTCTAATAATTACAACAACATATCCTATCGTTAGATAACGATCATAAGCTAACTAATAGATGAGAGCTGGAGATGTTGAACACTAATCCCACCGACAAACATGCTTTAAAATGCAGATATACTATAAGGGCGAGAGAGAGAAACAGAAAGGCAAGCTGTCCCTTAATTACTGCGTTTACTTATGCTACAACCAAACACACACTGCACGTCTGTGTGTGTGTTCTGTGCAGCTGGCCTCAGCCTATTAACACTAATGGCGTCCATTTGAGTCATATTTCCTCTGGCACAAAGTGAGGAAGAAGACCCAGGACGTTTTCCATCACTGGTTC